CCCCGCTTACAAGATCACGACAGGATCCATTGATATCCTATCAGCCTCCTCAAGTGAACAGAGTATGTTGTGCTGCGTCCGGGGAACTTTTGGCATCATCTGTACCCGTACGTCTTCCTCCCGGGGTCATCGTGCATAATACAGGGACAGGATGTGTATGGGATACCTTCAGGTACGTCGTTGCTTGTGGCAGGAGCTTGTGAGAGCAGGTCAGTCAGACCTCAGACGGATTATGACTGATTGTCTGAAGCCTCAGGCGGCCGCCATTGGCTATGGGTTGAGTCACCAGGACCACGTGACCTGAGATCGGACGTCGTTGACCAATAAGAGACGATTATACTCGCCGAAAACCCAGCGCCCGGCTCACAAGTTGTGGGGCATATAAGCCAATCATATTCCTTTAAGTGGGCCTCTTAAGCCGTATATGCATCTCTCATTGGCCTCATCCCCAGACACCGTCCGCACTACGCTAAACCGCTTTCATCTCGCCGACGAGCTCAATCAAAACCACCGGCTGCGCCTTGCTGGGGTACCGATGGACAGCCAGTTGCGGCCTCAGCAGTGAAATACCATCCATGACTCCGGCCTGGCTCACCCGCTTCCCTCTCGAACTTCTCTTTCCAATCTTCAATACTGAAAAGCCGAATACGTCGATTAGCAGACCCGAGTGAAGCTACTCCAAAGCTGGAGAACTTCCCTTGATCCGTCTCTTGTCCCGCAACTTTTCCCTTCAACAACACCCCATCAGCCAACTTAGGAGGAATCCAAGTTGCTGACAAACTGCCTGCCCCTTGCAAGCTTCGTCTCCAGAGACAATCTCCCATCTAGTCTCATCACCCGGTTTACACCAAATTCATATTGGAAATCGCCTCGAACGAGAGCTTTCTATCAAGGTGAGCTTTAATCTCCATACGACTTGGTGTATCAAAGCGATTCCCAAGGCAGCATGTAGTTCCTCGGTGGGAAGATCTGGGGATTTAGACACTTCGCCATCACGATGTATCTTGTATCACTTTCACGTAAAAGCAGACAACCCCCCCCCCCCCAAACATCGTCCTACCTCAACTCGACATATACAGAATTCCGGGCAGCTTGATGTAGGATATGAGTCCGGCCAAACAATTACTTACCCACTCTCATTAGCAAGCTTTCAGCAGACTTGGGAAACAATCCGGTCTTAGTTACTGCAGGGATCCGATTCCCCGTCACCATATCTTCTACATTCCGCCGCATACCTTCCGTAGCCAACACTATCAACGCAATGTCCGGCGTGATACGAAACCAGTCTACCGCTGCCTTCCAAGGCTTCTCTATCTCTCAGCCCTTCCTTGGCGCGTCTCTGCAGTTCTACCCTGAGATGGGCACCCAGGAACTCGACGACCTTGTCAACGCCTACCTCCCCGGCTCTGCCTCCATTCAGGAGAAACGAGCTACCGTCTCCATGGACTTCTTTGCATTCTCTCAGCTCACTGGAGAGACCTTCAAGTACTATCCCGTTGCCAGCGATTCCAGCAGCTCCGCCATCTCCTCTGCCGGATCTAGCCCCATGCAGAACTCCAGCAGCAGCTCCAACTTCGTCTCCCCTGTTATTTCTGACTGGTCTTGGTCTCAGTCTACGCCCGGCTCAGCCTCTGCGTCTACTCCCGCGTCCCTCAGCCAGGAATCCGTGTACTCCAAGTCGTCCAAGAGGGCCGCATCTTCTGTGACAAAGCCCCAGGCTAACGACTTCTCCCACCTCCCTGGGATGAAGATCATGACAAAGGATGGTCGCGATGTCACAAACTCTGCTTCTCGCGGTTGCAAAACCAAGGAGCAGCGTGATCATGCGCATCTGATGCGCATCATCAAGGCATGCGACGCCTGCAAGAAGAAGAAGGTCAGGTGTGACCCTAGCCACAAGAAGCGCACCACCACACAAGCACAGGGTGCGGCCGCGGCTCCAGCGCGGTCGGCAAAGAAGGCCAAGACGTCGAAGAGGGACTCGCCAGTAGCAACCGAAAGGTCACCACAACCAAGCACATCATTTTCAACACCAGCATTGTTCACAGAGCCCTCACTCGCGGACCTCGACATGCTCGATATGGCAGATTCTTGGGAGTCCTTCGTTCAGTTCGATGACGAGCCCGCCAACGTCGCGCCTTTCGAGTACGACTTCTTCTTCGACCCTGCGGGACACCTCACTCCTGAGTCAAGCCAGTCTCCCATTACTCCCTCGATGGTATTCAGCCAGTCTCGGAACGGCTCCGATGGCCTACAAGACGTGGTTGTCAGCAAGCCATTTACCGACGAGCTCGATGTCCGGCCACCGGCGCTTCCTTACCTGGACTCTTCCCCACGCATCAGCAACTATGTCGACTTCAACCTCTACTCACCCGAGCCAAGCTTCTTGGACGACGACGTTGCACTGCTCAGTGACATTGGTACTACTATTACCACCAAGGCCCAGAGCACGGTGTCTCAGCGCCGCAGCTCACCTCAAAGCGGCGAGTCGTCAGTTCAGCAACAAGTGCACCTCGGTCGCTCTCCGACGGCACCAGATGATTACTTGGCAGACGATATCGGAGTACCAGTAAACCGAACTGCACTGGGAGGAACCAGCGTCGCGGTCTGTCGTCACCGTCACCGTCCATCGTCTGTAGCAGTACATGCTGAAGTTCCGGGCGCTTTGATGGTAAGCATTCCTCACACGATACAACCTGAACTTATTCTGACATTTGAACAGACCGTGTCTGAGTCTCAATTGAGCCTATCCGACGTCAATGCAACATCCCGCAGTGTACGCTCACAACGACCTGCGGATCCAGCCCTGCAACCAAGCTCGCCACAATTACTACCACTGCCACATGCCACGTCCCGCGCTGCGGTCAATTCTTCGGGAGTACATGTCACCGCATTTGGCGGCGTACTGCCAGGAGTAGTTGGCCGTTCACCAACGTCTTCAGTCATTGCGCCCTCACGCTCCTCGACCGCCGTCGAGGAGGCGTCTTATTACGCGCATATTACGAGGACAATCAATGGCGCCAATGGCCGTGGATCAATTATTAGCGGAATGTCCAGCAGCGTCTCTCCGGATGCTCAGCTCCAGCTTGCCACGCCAGAGTCGTCAGAAAGTCGTCACAACACCACACATAGCGTCACCCGTTCCTCTGCTGGCGCCTTTGTACTAGGCGGGGTACGCATTCTGACGGGGGCGGTTGCGGGTGGTAGCTTGACATGCAAGCGCCGCTCTCTCGTCGACTGGCTGTCCAAGTCGCAGTGCCTGGTATACGTGGCACTCTTTGCGACTGTACTCGGGTTGGTTGCGCAAGTCCTCATGGTACAGGCGTTCGCCGGCCGATTCATTCAACTCGCTATTGGCCTAGCGATATACAAGGTCTACCACTTTTACTCAAGTCTCTATGACTCGAGACCGGAACAGAGCCATCTTGGGACCGCCACGTCAAAGCCGCAGGGCTTGAGCGACGGCGCGAGGCTTCTCTCCTGTGTCAGCACGAGACTACGACGTACCTGTCGACAGAACCAATCCGCACAAACCCCGGTCAACGGGGCGCGGATAAAGGTTCTGGGCCTCGCGCAAGGTCTCTCATGAGATCTTGTGTCGACCACCTGCGGCTTGGGCTAATGGCCCTGGCTTGTATGGATATGATAGTTGTCGTAGTGTTTTTGTTGCTGTCTATTGGGAGCGTTGGTTTCTGAGATACCCCTCTGTTTTTTGATGAGACGTGCATTCTTCACGAATGGCATGCACGTCAGCTATATCATCGGGCAAGGTTGTGTTCTGTTGTACAGGCTGGAACCAGGTATGCTGGACACGGAGCAGTTGCGTATGAACTGCTGTATAGTCTAGTTAAATTTGGTGGTAGCGTCGTACGATATAATATAACTGCCTTGCTCACACCTCTTCATGTTGACTTTCGCCCGACGTGCACTCAGTGTATACGGACACGACCATTCCAAAGCTGTAGAAGGGCTTGCCAAGGACCTCGGACTTCAGATTCGTCCTTCATCTCAACACGAACTTGAGTACCCTGAGAAGGATACGTTCAAGTGGTCAGTGCCACCGTTTGACAGCGGGGTCACGTGATACCATGTGTTCCCACCTAATGCAAACTTCATTCATGGCAATAGGGTAGATCGGGGCCAAAACTGATTCAACCTTGGCTCCTAAAAAGTTAGGGGTTTACGTGACTAACAATACTCCTTTTCCATAGTGAGTAGCAAGCCAGTCAAATAGTTTTATTTGCTTTATTGTCTCGAGCGACGTGTGCTGACTACAGCCAGACTGAGTCATCCTTGTTTGTCACTCTGCCACTTACTTGAAGTCCTGTTCAGGGCAATTCTTAAACAACAAGCGCCCAGTATCGCATGTGGTTTCAGTTCAGGTGCTCTTCAAGGCTTTGGTCCACACTTCGTTTCAATAGGACAAGTATTGAAGGACAGCCTTGCCCTGGACTTCTGCAGTAGAGTCAGATAAGGAAACATACAGAACCCTTCTGACACTTGAAAAGTCGGTTGCAGTCTTGAAACTTTCCCAGTCAAGTGCCAACAAAAGCCCTTGACAACCCAATTCATTGTTCGAACAGGAAGAGCAGCGACAAAGGAAGCTCTCGTGAGAGACGCAACTTCTTCACAGCTTACCCGAACTTACATTGCCTCGGGTGTATGTCTACCTGATCTAGTAGGCCAGGGATTCTCCAAATACAAGGGCAGCCTACAACATTCTACATTGGCCTGTATCGAAATACGCTATACTTTGCGTCGGCCTAGAACCTCTCGGTCCCTTGTCTACTTGACGAGACTACCGTAGTCCAGTCCGTTGCTGCGGCTCTGGTTTAACTCGGGACACACAGAGCAAATAGCCCCCATTCTCATTTCTTCGGGAAGGCAACGATTGTCTACATCTCTGAAGTCGTCAAGTGCTCTCTGCACCTTACCTTAGTGCCAGTCGTACTGCGTAGCTTGAATCCGTGGAGGTTCTGTGGTACCCAGGGTAGAAAGGCATGCAACAAGTTGGTTCCTTCCCAAAAAAATTCACCATGAACGCTCCTGCCTCTTCAGATGCGCCTCCAGGTGGACCTGGGCCTGAGTCTGGGCCTCGAACCGGAACACAGGACAAAGATAGAGGAAAGCGGGCTTCGACAAGCAAGTTCCTGCAAAACATATTTTGCCGCCTCAAAACCTCATTCACCCCCAACTCCAAATCACCATCCTCTTCCTCACCTACCTTAGCGCCCTCGTCCCAACTACCAGCAACAAATACCGCCCAAGCACAGCCAAGCCAGGCAGGGCAGACATCAGTGCAAGAAGACGCAGAGATGGCTGGCGTTCTTACTCGACACAGTCAGTCGACTGAGCCTGCGCTGCCTCTATATCCCTCCAGCAAGGCTCCCGTTCCCGCTTCGGGAGATGACAAGGAGAACCAGCCCAGCGCCCCGGTGGTCTCCGTTCCAGCTCCGGCCCTGAGCCGTATGAGCCTGGAATCCTTCGGTCGGCCGCGATCATCAGCCTCCATCCCCCAGACCACGCTCACACCTCTCAGCGAAAGGCCTATGCACCAGATGCTAATGGATCAGGCATTGGATATGGTAAGCAGCTAGACCGACCAGCAAGTCCCCTCATAGCAATGGAACACCCCTAATATCGTATCCAGGCTCGACTAGCACTGCGCACCAACGAGACGCCCGTTGGCTGTGTCCTTGTCCACAACGGATCGGTCATTGCGAGAGGCATGAATGCCACGAACGTAACCCGGAACGGTACCCGCCATGCTGAGTTCATGGCATTGTCTGCACTGCTGTCCTACCGACCCAACAATAGTGAGGAGGCCGTCGAGGCTCAGCTTCGCCAACAGGCCAGCGAACGTTCCAAAGTAGATGTTCCTGACGATGAATCGGATCTGTTCCCGGATGACGACGAGTATGTCAGGAAAGGTCACCTCTACCCTTACGGCCAGAAGCTTCATCTCGATCCTCGGGTCGACCGCTCTATCGTCAGAGAGTGCACTCTTTACGTTACAGTCGAGCCCTGTGTCATGTGCGCCGGACTTCTTAGACAGCTTGGGATCAAGAAGGTCTACTTTGGCGCTGTCAACGACAAGTTTGGTGGAACTGGCGGTGTATTCAGCATCCACAAGAACTCTACAGACACCCGCCAAGACCCCAACCCAGTCACTGTTCTCAGGCCGATCCAGATCAATGCATCCAACGCTCCAAGGCCGGCAAGCTCTGCGTCGGGAAAGAGTTCCCTCAACAGCAATCGTCCCGCGAGCCGAGGTGGCGATGGCGGAAACGTCGAGCCAGGTTTCGAAGCAGAAGGTGGTTGGGGCCGCGACGAAGCTGTCGGTTTGCTGCGGAGATTCTACGTGCAGGAGAATGGAAGAGGTAAGTCGTTGATTAAAGGGGGCCATCGAGAAGCTGTAAGCTGACACCTTCTCTAGCACCAGTGCCGCGCAAGAAAGAAGGCCGCGCTGCTAGGTTGGCAGCCATGGAACAAGCTGGAGGCGAGGGCGGAACGCCTATGCCATCCGAGGCTTTTGACGTCGCTGACGGCGACGACCAAGGTGCCGCTGGTAATGGTGCTTCAACCGTCTCCAATGGCAGTAAAGAGAGGGACGAAGCTTGAGTGCACCGCTGAGTATTTTCAAAAAAGCCGCACGCATTACATACTACGGGGATTGATCATTACATGGGGTTATCAACACTGATGGGACGATCCACCATTTATCTTAGATTGGTTCTATTGTACTTTCAACGAAAGGCAACTAATAATAGACGAAGATGCATCATCATTCGGGTATCCTATCCAATTCCCCAATGTGGTACTCAAATGACTAATATCCCACAAAACTCCTCGAAAAAGACTTCTTTTATTCCGCTCATGACGAGGACCTGTCACCATGGGGGGTGATGGTCTCTCCAATCTCCTTGTCCTTGCCGGTGACAGAGCCGCCCTGCTCAGAGCTGATGGTCTTCTCCAGGGGCTGGGGCTCGGAAGCGGCATGCTGGTGTTCATCAGAGCGCCAGAAGTCCTTCTTTCCCTTGAACGCGCGGCGGACCCAAGGCGGCAGGATACCGCCAGGAATGCGCCAGGTCCAGGGGTCCTTCTCGTTCTTGTTATACGGAACGATGCGGCCACCGGAGACCTTCTCGATGACCCAGACAAGGCCGTTGATGAGGATGTAACTGCAGACACCACCGATGAGGCCGTCGGCAATAGAGTAGGTGAAGGGCATGAGTGCGAGGGTGATGAAGGCGGGAACGGCATCACCCATGTACCTCCAGTTGATCTCAGTGACAGCGCGTACCATCATGGATCCCACGAGAACCAACACGCAGCCGGTGGCCCACGAGGGAATGGAAGCGAAGATGGGAGCGAAGAAGATGGAGATGAAGAAACAGATACCGGTGACCATGGCAGTCAGACCGGTCTTGCCTCCCTCAGAAATACCGGCACCGGACTCGACGAAGGCAGTGACGGGGGGAGTACCGAAAAGGGCACCAACGGAGATGCTGAGGGCATCGACCATATAAGCGACGGATGAGCCCTCGAAATCCTGAGTCTCCTCGTCGATGAGGTTGGCGAAGCGGGCCATGGAGTAGAGGGTACCTGTGCAGTCGAGGATGTCGACATACAAGAAGGTGATGAGGGCGAGGCCGAAAGCACCGCTGTATCCTCCGACGTTCCACTCTTGGACGTTGAGGGTCCTCTGGATCGGGTGGAAGTCGACAACCTTCTTGAAGAAGTCAAAGTTGGAGTCGCCGATGACGGTGTCAGGGAAGTAGGTGACAGAGGTGTTACGGGGCCAGGAGATGATGCTGACGAGGATGATTCCGGCCAGGATGGCGCCCTTGAAGCGGTACATCATGAGCATGACTGTGAAGATACCACCGCAGAAGATGCCGATCCACATGGTGGGGTTGCGCATCTTGGTCGAGGACGGGCAGAGACCGTCAACCTGCTCGCTCGCGATGCAGCCAGCCAACTCGAGGGGGGTGGAGGTGGCGCCGACAATCAGACCGATACCCTCGCTGTAGGTGAGACCGATGAGGGTGAGGAAGAGACCGATACCGACACCGGTGGCGAGCTTGATGGAGCGGGGGATGGCGCGAGCGAGCCATTGACGCAGACCGAGCAGGGCGAGGCCGAAGAAGATGAAGCCCTCGATGAAGATGGCGGTAAGGGCGACCTGGTAAGGGACGGCACCGGTTCCGTGGTAACCGACGACGGAGTAGGCAAAGTAGGCGTTCAAGCCCATACCGGGAGCGCAACCGACGGGCATGTTGGCGAGGAGGCCCATGAAGAAGGTAGCCAGGGACGAGATGGCGGCGGTGGCGGTAACGATGTCGCGCTTGACCTCTGCCACGCAGAGCATGTAGTCCTGGTCCTTGTCACAAGTGAAATCGTCGGCGTTGCGCGGGCAGACGCAGGTACCGCCGGAATCGGCGACGATGGAGGAGTTGACGGCGATAATGTAAGCCATGGCGAAGAAGGCGACGAGACCGGCGCGCATCTCGGTGAAGAAGAGTGATCCCTTGCGCTCACGGGGCTTTTTTCATGACATGTTAGCATACTTGTCACGCATCATCATTGCGACACCTTGCCCTGCGCGCTTTGCGCAAAGAAGCGGCGGCCGTGTGGTCATGTCGAAGGAGTTGTGGTGGGAAGTTGGGGAATTGGCGACTTACATGGCCGGAGCCCTCAAGCTGGAACCACCGACCGACCGGGCCGGCGGCGATCTTGGCGTTCCATTTCTGGATGAACCCCATTTTTGCACGAAATTTTTCGTCCTTTCTTTACTTTTCCAGTCCGCAATGTTTCGAATGGCGATAAACGGTTGGGAATAGGTAGTCTTGCCAAAGATAAGAAATATTATCGGCAAGGACTTTAATAAATAAAAGAAATGTGACCCGAGATCTGATCGATGTTGACAAAGCCCGAGTGAGATTGCGGCGCGGATGTCGAAGATCTGAGCTGTAGAGAAAAGCAAGTCAAAGCAAGACAAGCCGAAGCCGGGCTTCTTAACTAGTTTTCTTGACAACTGCGACAGAGCAGGGGAAGAGCCCAATCAGGGGGATGAGATGAGATGAGATAGGAATCGGGAGTGGCCGTTGAGGCACCGATTAGAGGATGCTGGACAGCGACGGGGGCGAGGATGGGAGGCGAGCCTAGAGAGACAACATCGACAAACCCAAGAGGGCGGAACGGTGGATGGTTTTTATCAATGGCTAGGACTGGCACGGGCAATGGCTCATAAACAGGATAGAGGCAACGGACCGCGCCCCCCTCCTCTTGTGGACGAACGACAACGGCCAGTCGCGTTATCAAAGAAAATCTCGAGCCATTATTTATTAGTGCGAAAGGATTATCATTTGCTGGATCACCGAAAAGGTGGGTGGGCAGCATAGCAAGGGCCCAGGCGTGGTGGATCAAGAAAAAGCTGTGTACTTTCACTTTTGCCCGGATAGCTGAGGTTGCCAAGACCAAGATGGCAACTGGGAGCTAGGATGGGCATGGGAGAGAAAGAGAGTGAGATGGGACTCAGAGATGGGCATGGGAGACGAACCGGGGGGTGGGATTCCTGAGAGTTACCCTACAAGTTACCGCGTAGACGATGGACGAAGGCGAGGCCAAGCCAAGGGTCACGGCACCCCCTTCTAGGGCCCAGCTTCCGAACCTCCCCAAAGACTAGCGCGACGCCCTTATCCTGGTCCCAGTTTTTATTTCTCGCATGCAGTCGTAACGACTTCATCGAGTTCTTGTCTCAGTCGGTGCATACACGGACGGCGGGCATGGCGTGGCATGGCATGAGATGGCGGCACCGGCCTCGAAGCGCGCAAAGCCATGTGCCGGAGAAGCTCAACTCGACTCACTGGAGTCCATAGACTGAGCCCATTGTGGGATTGTGGACACAGCCTTCTTGCTGGCACCTGCTTGTCTGCTTTAAAACTGGTCAATGGGGCCCGAATACCTTGACATGAGCTCCTCCATGTGGGCGTGAAACGTGGGACTGTGGATGCGCCGAAAAGATACATGTGGTGTACGGAGTAGGTGGCATGGCGGCGGCGGCGGCGCGGCATGTCGTCCAATGGCACACACAGGCAAAGAGCAAGATATCGGACCCGAAAGATGAAAGAAGTGACAGGCCGAAAGCAGCGTTCCAGCTATCTGGATTGTGAACGGGCTTGCCCCATTCCGAAGCCAACACGCTATTCAGGGAATATGTTTACTTTGTAAGTAGAGTTGGCCCAAAAAGCTCAGACACCAACGATGGCCATGTGGTGATAAGTTGCGAGTTTCTAACCAGATACGGCATCATCAATTGGAAGTAACAGGCTGTACGGATAGCAGATGAGGGAAGCTCTGGGCCGTCGGCATGGTGGCTTCTCTAGCTGCGCTGCCTTTTGCCAGGTCACATCGATAATGCGCTGTGTCGGACGCCATTGGAGACGCCATACAAGGACAACAGCCTTTGATATTGTGGTGACTGTGAGATGGCGAAGCACAAAGAGATGGCGCTTAGGCATGAAAGATGTATCATGTATGTAGGCCGGGGGCCGACGGCAGCGGAAGGCATTTGCCATTGGTAGCTGAAGGCGAGGCGAGGCAAGCAAGCCAGTCCAGGCTGCAGATGCCCCGTATTACATGGGGAAATGGAAGGCTGTTTGGAAGTTTTGACGGGGTTCCATTTGCAATCGGGTTGTACTCGTCGTGTATCCGTATGTATTGCGTATTCTATTGATGGTATTGACTGGTGTCGGTAGTGGTTGTCCAGAGCGGTATGCTGGGCAAACATGGTTCTTGATGCGCCAGTGACAAGCAGATGTGGAAAATCTTAGCACATATCAATCGAGGGCGGGGCCAAAATGAGCGTCGCAACAAAAGTGCGTGCGTGCCCCCCCCCCCTCCCCCCGCCGGGCCTGCCCTAACTTTTTTCTTAAAGTACCTTACGGAGTAGCCTTAATAAAGTGACCCGACCAGATCCCCAGAGAAGAGAGTTGCGCAACGCGACCAGCCCAATCAACTGGCAAGAAAGGTCGGACAGGTACTGCGGCAAAAGAGCATAAAGAGACGGCAGTGGCGCACTACATCAGAAGAGGCTAAGGCAGTGTAAGTGTGCCTAAATGAATTGCGGATACATCCCGCCTGCTTCAACAGGCCGAACCTGTGGAGCTAAGGCAAGGAACTGGCCTTTTTGGTCGGTGAGTGAGCCGCCTTTACTCCGTGACGGCTCCAGAGTGTTGACGCTGGTTGTGATACTCGTACCTTAGCACGGAGTACAGTCGCTGCCTATTGCCAGGACTCAGAACCAGTGAAGGGTGGCACACCTCAATTAAGGTATGTGTCGTGCCTGTGCTCCGGACTCTGTAGAGTCTGTACAAACACCACAGGAAGTCGTGGCAAGTTGCAACAACATCACGTCGCCGGGCGCGTCAGTCAGGTCAGGTCAGGATTAAACTCAATGGAACATGCTGCTGACTTGCGCCTTACCGATCCATGCGACCTTGCGACCTTGCCTCAGCTACCTAGCTGGCTTAGGTCCTGACTGCATACTATCCGGGCAAGTGTGCTCCGGTGCTACTGCACCCAGGCAAAGGCGGAAGCCGCTCAACGTTACAGGTTCCTTTCTTCTTCCATCTCAGCTGCCTTAGCACTTACACATACATACGGAGTAGCTTACCAAGGGTACTCCGGACCATAAGTTACGAATACTACGTGTTGGCGGTGTTGCACACGTTGGCAGTTGCCCGAGAGGTATGTAGGTGTCTATGTATAGGTCTTTCCCGGGGTTTGCTCTTTCCCGCTGTCAATGCTGTCGTCCCTTTCCCTTGCCGCTGTTCATTCCCTCTTCTTCTTCTTCTTCTTCTTCTTCTTCTTCCTTCCTCGGCGGGAGACAATGGGACAATGGGAAAGAACATGCGCGTCGTGCGTGATCGAGGCAACCAGCCCCGCCTTTTCCTCACACACATTGAAAAGACAGAAAACAAAAAACAAAGTACCGGGTGTCGAGGTTCGAATACCTAGGTATTCAAACATGTTCAGTTTTGCTCCTGCTCCTGCTCTGCCCCACAAGCTTGCCTTCCATTGAGTTCCCTCCTCCCGTGGCCATGGAGTCAGATACCTGCGCCGTATTACTGCAGCACGGTACCTAGGTATACCCAACCTTCTAAAGGTCTAGAAAGACGGAAAAGCTAATTAAGGCAAGATACCTGTCCTCTCACTCGATTCGACCAAACTACCTAAACCGGTCGCCCGATTGTCAGCTTCGGAAGCGGGGCTCTTGCTGAATCCGAAGCCATTGGCCGTGGCTGTGATCCACCTCCGAAGCTAGGCTCTTCTCGGGGCGAGCGGCCGTGGCCGAGCGGGGCCGCATCTGCCATCTGCGATAAGCATCCTGACCCCCCTTGGTCGGGGGGTTCTGGCCTTTGTCAACTGCCTTCTGAGTTCTGTCAACCTTATCAGCCACTCCATCCATAAGCTAATTACCATCTCCAGACCTCATCTCGTTCTAAGGCACGCAGGCACCAGGTCCTCGTGTTTTCCATTGCCTCGGTCCCAAGGTTTCTTGAACTGCCAGTCTGTCCAGTGACGATGGTCACGTATGCGAATTCACAGCGTCTGCCCGCCTCTTTGGTCAACTTCATTGATGGTCAACGAGATACCCATGTCACGATCGAAATCTGCCAAGCCAACTAACCCGCGTCCACCACATTGTATCGAATGTCTCACTTTTTTGGCGCTCCCATTCCTTAGCCTTATGCTGAACCAAGCTGCCTCGCACAAGCTCACCTTCGAGCCGTCTGTTGATTCTCGATCAGCCACGAAATTCTTCATGAGAGTCAAATGCGCACTCGGCCGCCGCCCAGCTCGGACAGCGGCGCACCTGCCCACCACCACGAGGTTTATCAAGTCTGGACCTTCCGCACCGTCGACTTGACGACTCTAGTTCGGACGGAGTAAGGAGTGCACTTTCACGGTCACCGGTCTGCTCCATTCATCGGTCAGATACGTTCAGTTGGCGTCAGCAGATAGCCAATCTGGTGCCTCCCATCCGTCTGGGCGATAGGAATCCCCCGAACCCCCCCCCCCCCCTTCCCAAGGCCCCGAGCTTTCCACTGATTACGACTCACGTTGACATTGCCTCCCCCAATCCGACTTGGCCCACCCCCACGACTTCCAAACAGGGGGAACAACGGCACTAACGCACCACCGCCATCTGACAGACTTGAGGAGAACCGCCCGGCCGGCATCCCCGCAAAAACCCGCCAAAGACATTGACTTCAAGGTCTCATAGACGACAGACATTCTGGGAACTATGGCTCGCATTTCTTCATCGCCAGTGCAGGCCGCCTTTGCATGGTTGAACTTAATTCCAACATGCCTTACTTCATCGGTGCTTTCTTCTTTCTGCAAAAGACCGGCAATAGGGTCTCATTGGTTGCCGGCTTGTCTTTGTCTATATGTGGCTGGCTGCTGGGCATGAGGCTTTGGAAGCCGTGGCGGTAGCCTTTGACCCAGCAAGCCAACGACAACATGTTACAGCTCCTGCTTGGCAGAGGCTACCTTCACGACATCTGATCATATACATCGCGCCCACCAAACTGCTTGCGCCGCGTCGTACGAGTTCCTCTATCACAGCAATAGTCGAGTTTGGGGGTCTGTCGTTCGTCTGATCTGGAGATCTTAGCCGAGCACAGATGCGGTGCCGTCTCGAGCTTGCGGTCACGAGTCTCCAATAGGGAATCCATCTCAGCTCATTCTGGTGGGAGATGGTACCTCGAAGCGAGGTTCGAGAGCAGCCTAATCCGTAGTGTGCCTTTGCAGTACGGTTCTAGATCACACCGAGATGAATCATTGTCGAGAAGTATTACTCCGTACCAGACAAAGAGTTCATGTGAGGACAACGAGTTCTCATGACAGCAACATCTCTGTTATGCGTCGCTTGGCATCCACGTATGTTAGTCGGGCGATTGCTGCGATCCATAATTCGGCATCAACATACTGTGACAAGCCAAGCAGATGGGCCTGTCGAAGAAATAGGCGTGTTGGAGGGTACTAACCTGGAATACGTCGCATCCAGAAAGCTGGGCGAGGCCGCAAGAGACACACGACCCATGTCCCAAACGGGCCTCGTTGCTTCTCCTTATCTGCCGGGCCCAATTTTTCTTCATGTACAGAAATGCTGAAGATACGATGACCAACGCGCCAACGCAACTTCCGCAACGGCTGCCAGGCTTGCACGTGGAGTGGGTCTCTTCTTCTCGATGTCTGATTTCTATTGCATCTATGCATCCGACCCATGGATACATTACAAGAACTAATGTCGAAGAACTCGCCTTGGCCCCATTTCGCGGTCGTGACCGCACGGAGAATTAAGAATGGAGGAAGCACGAAGTCGCTACAAATACTGGTACTGGTATGGTATTGGAAACCACTATCTCGGATCCGGGCGTACAGAACCTCTCAGATTCGGACTATACCTTATGTCTCTGACACACATCGGTTATCCATAGGTTGCTTGTAGCCTCACACACCCGTCTTCCTACGACGACCACCACCGGCGTTTCGCACCACCACTATTCACTTCGTCCGATGGCTGCAATCCACTCAACAAGTTATGGCGACTCAGTCGTCCCATGGCTCCGGGACGACGGCGGCAATTACGGCAGCGGTATTCCCAAGGCAATCCCGGAACGACGGCACAAACGGTATCCACACTACCGGACGAATTCAAGCTACCGATCACGGGAGAAGCCGAGTTCCTCGCTGCCCCCCCAGCCTCCTCTAGCCCGGGCGGGGCCGTGCCGACGACGGGGTATCCGCGGCTCGCCGGGCGGGCGCGCTTCATCGAGTCATCCATCGGTTGATTCGAGACTGATGGTGAATTAAGGCAAGCCAAGTGGCGCTAAAGCCTTCACTGGGTGGTAATTTGGAGGAAACCGTCTTGTCATCCAGGCTTGCGCCTAGTGCCGTTCGTTGAGGCAACCCATCGAATCGCCCACTTGTTAGAGAACCAAGTGTGCGGGACCCCGACCGCTTGAAATTTCGCTGTGTCGAGCCGTAGCCGGCAGACCCATGTGAGCCTTCGTCAGGAACGCCAGCAATGTGCCAATTGCTTCCTCCTGGTTGGACAAATAAAGCATCGATGTTTGCGATTGACACGAGGCAGCATCGCACCCACCCTCTCGTCGGACGGCATCCGACCTCCGCAATCCCCGGTAATGGCACCAGGACCGGTGCGGGGAAACGACAGAACTTAATCCTCTCCTTGACTCTCATCGACAATCAGCGAGATCATCGTGATCCTGAGCAGCCAGGGTGACCGAGGTCGCGACTCGCCAGTCTTTGTTTGGCCCTACTTTTGCATGACACGAACGGAATTTGGTCCTCTCCCAGAGCTTTCACAGTCCACAGATGGCCACTAGAGACGATCAAGCCCACCAGCTCCCTGGGGAGCCAGCGATATTGATGCCGTGCGCTCGATGGGTCACATTCAATTCGCATCGCGACGTCACCGATCTCTCGGGACCTAGGGGGAAACCCAATCCCGCGCAGACACGGAGACAGCAACAAGGACAGGGAGCTTATCACGCACCGCAGACTCCTTGCTCCTTTCGTGGACTGGATCTCACCGCCAAAGAGTACAGGCGTCCGCTTGTGGTTTGCGAGCGTATGGGCGACGGCGACCAAGTCATGTACTGCAGCGCTAGCGCGTGAGTAACGAAGTGAACCACTCAGCCTTTCACGCGCCCTGTCGTGGGTCGATGTGACGATGCTTACCTTATTCCAACGATGTGACGACGGCGAGAGTGCCTACCTGCCCGGAGAATTTGAGGCCCTGCAGCGGCTCCTTGACGATCTCTGGGGATGCCATGTCAGGAGCAGAATCACGTCCTCAATTTGCAGTCTGCTTTACCCTGACCTGTCGGCTCTATGCGCTAATTAATTGCAGAAAAGTATCTTTTCACTGGCTCAGGTGCAAGTAGAATGTCTGGAAAGATGACGAGGCGAGCAGCAGCACTGTGACGATGGTATCCGTGCAGACCCGACGTCAGCCGGCAGGGTGTTTGGTAGCAACGGCCGCTGGGACTGTCCTGGTGCCGAATACCGCCCGGAACCTAAGGTAACCAAGCTGGTTCAGGGGGAGGATCCGCCGGGCAGCACGGATGGCTACTCTGTGGTCCCACCAGCATATTCAGATGTCTTTGGCAAGGTTGGCTTTGGCAGCAGCATACGGAGTAGTTGCGAATCGGTTGCTGGCTTCTGAAGGCCCTTCTGGAATCAAGCGCGTATCAAGGAGCCACTCTCGCCTGATGATGCGGGCAACATGCGTACTGTACATCATCGATCAAGCAGGTGTAGGTGACACGAGTTTCAGTGCCGGAGTAAGCTGAGGGATTGAGCATCCCGGCCAATTGGGACTGGCGGTGTAACTGAGGGAGAAATGGCAATAGAATTGATTCAAGGCGTTCCGGATGATTACGGACAGCAGCGAGTTGGCCATCAGCATGGCAATGTCATAGTGCGGTAGAATCAATGCTGCGTAGGGCCATGTCGTGAGGGTATGATGCACCTCATGCAACGTGCATTGCGAATCAGCTCGGGGGATGCAGCACTGCCGGCTGCGGTGCTGTTGGTGATGATGGTTCTGAAGATACACAGACGCAGTGTGACACGACAGGCCATTCTGGCAGGGTAAGTAATGGGAGAGAGGGGTCCGGAGAGTATGTAGAGTGAGGACGGGGATTCGTTAGCAAGAGGTGTGAGTCGTGGGCAACGATGCGAGTTGTTGGAGTCGCAGCTGCAGGTTTACCTCATCTGACGTCACTGGAGAGGAGCAGCGGGCTGGACCCTGCATATCGCCCCAAGTTGTGAAGCGAGAAGAGCAAGGCCCGTCATTGGCTGCTTGGCAAAAGTTCCACTACGACTACAACGCTTCCTTGGATCTTTGGGGGACTAGCACCGCCGGCAGCGCTCTTTCCCGCCGAGGTGCGCTACAGTCTCCCCCTTCCCGACCTCGCCTGGGAGGTACTGGGAACCGGTGCTGTGTGCTTCGAATTCCGGACCGGGTGATTCTTCAACACAAGACAAGGTCCCCTTCTCTTGCTTAGCACCATTTCCCCATGCCTCACAGCCTTCAGCTGCGGTACCTTACGGAAACTCTGCCCGCAGTGTATTTCGCAGTGTGTGTGTGGGTGTGTATACTAAGAAAAGTAACCCGACCTTCCATGTCTAGGGCATTTCATCGTATTACTCGGTAACCCGTATAATACCAAGACAATGGATAATTCCCGCGACGTGTGGCAGGCCCGTTCAAGTTCAACGGTCCAACGGCTGGCTACCGGTAACAAACATAGTAGCGATGGTACCCTGTTTTGTTCAGCCCAGGGCAGGGTTCCACTGCATTCGTCTTGAATTGTCATTTCCTGCAACAAGGGCAATGTTGGTTCGCCCTTTTGGATTGTTGGCCATGAACCGCCGCCAAACCGCCATTCCCATGCTTCTAACCTTCTTTCTCCTCATGCGCTGCGCATTTCTCCACGTTGCCTTACTCGGACAGTTCGTGCCCCATCAGTTACTTTGGTACATACCGTGATACCTCATCTCAACTGTCCACTCTTCAAGTCTCGCGTGCTCCTGACTTCTCTTTCTTAGTGGCCCAAACGCAGACACTGGCAAGCTGGCACCTCCCAGTGAGGCGAAAGAGGCCCCCCCCTCCTCCCGCATCCCGTTCCAATGGAACCTGTCTCCTGCCTCCCAGTGGACGACGCACGCGACTGGACCGGGCCCAACTTGCCAGCGCCAGCAATAGCCCCCCCGCAAAACACCAGCGGTCAGCCGATCCTCTCTGGCGTGTGACGCTATCCCAATCCCCCTCGAGTCTCGTCTCATCTCGGGCCTGCCCACGGAGTACGGCCTGCAGTTCGCCCCCTTCGCTGTCGTTCGTTCCTTTCGTCTATCGTCTTTCCAACGCTCTTTGATTGCTTGTCTTTGCTTCTACCTTACTCCTATACTGCTCCTTTACCAGCAAATCAGGTAGACTAAGCACGTACCTAGCCTACCCACCCACCTTGACACCCACCTCACCCTTTCCCCCCCGCCCTGTGCCTCGACCCATCATGACCACCTTTGTGACTATATACCATTATATACACCATCCGACCTCCCCTTCTTCTTCCCTCCCCCCTCGACACTACCATCCTCCTGATTCTTGACATATGGCTCACTCCCGGCTTTGATATCTGCCCACCTTGCCACCTTCTCCTGCTAGCACACATCTCCCGCCACACCTTTACATCCTCTCACATCCTCGCACACCTTCTGCCCCTTCCGGCCTCCCAACCGACGATCTCGAACAATAATGGGACGCTCTCATCGCAGAGGCCCTGACTACGACCTGGACTCTTATGAGCCTTACGGTCGCTCTTACGACACTGCTGCAGACCCCTACGCTCAATATCCATCTCGTGGACGCAGTCCTGGTCCTCGTCGCCGCAATAAATCAGAACCTGCCGCACCACCGGCTGCCTATGACAACTATCAACGCGAACCAGAGCCTAGAGAACAGCCACGGGAACACCGTGAGAGCCGCAAATCACGCAGGGACGCCGTCCCGGAATCCTACGCTCCCCAACCAGAACAGAGGGAAGATCGCAAGAGTCGCAAGAACCGATACTACGACGAAGACGCCTATCAACCACGGGCACGGAGCCACGGCCGCTCCGCCCGGGAACCCCCCGCCAATGCTCACCATCGTGCCGACGACGACGCCTTCGACGCATATGCTCCGGCCTCTCGCCGCGGCCGGGAGCGTCAGCATGCCTATCACCCGCCCCGGACGAGCGACACGAGGCGCTCCAAGTATGCTGACTTTGATGCCGAGCCTCGTTATCCCGACAGACGCTCCCGTTACGCCGACTACGATGATGTCGATCTCTATAATAACGAGTCGCGCCGTTCCAAGAATGATGGGCCACGCGAGAGTGATAGACGGCGTTCGCGCTACGCTGACTACGAGGGCGTCCCCCGCGGCGGTAGCGAATCAAATCGCGGTCGTCATGTAGATTACGAGGCTGATCCCCGTTCAAATCCGAGAGGATATGCCGGTCACAGCCAGGGTGGCCGCGGTCGCTACATGAATGACTCGCCTGAGCGGTATGGCCAACCAGGCGGCGGTCAGCAACGCTCTGCCAGAGGACGGTCCATGCCTAGAAAAGGTGCAGCAGGGGGCACCTCTGGTACAGCTCGGCCTCGAGCCAAGTCAGCTGTCGGTTACGCTGCGCTGGGTGAAGCCGCTCAGACAGCCTTTAGAGTGGGAAGTCAAGCAGCTCTCCAGATGAAGAGTGAGCCCGGCCCGTGGATAGGCGAGAAAGGGACGCGGGTCGCCACGGCTGCTCTGGGCGCCGCCCTCGTCGACACATTTGTCGGTCACAAGGCCACAGGCATGAAGGGTGGCATGCGCCATCAAGCTTTGCGTCAGGCATGTGAGATGGGCATTCGCAACTTTGTCGTCCAACCTACTGTGAACACGGCGACCCGACGCAGTGGCAGTTGGGGCGGCCATGGCACTGGCAGCGGGGGAGGTCAGAGCAGCAGTGGGAGAAGACGACACTGATCATATCGAATTATCTATGTGTTGTCCGACTTATTTGAGATGCTACTTGACATGTGGTTGGGTTCCGCGATGCCCATCCCCCTGTTCTATATCTTCCCGACTCATCTCTTCCCAAACACACCAAGTCTCTCCTCTGCTTTCTTTCGTGTGGCTTTTCCCTGGTTTTACAGGGGCGGCGTAATCGGATAAAGTGCTATCAAGACGGCCGGATTTTCCCTTAGTTTAGAAATGGCATGGCAGCATGTTAACGGTAGACGAGTAACGAGTCTCAATGAATCAAATGACGATGGAAATGAAAATACCATGGATGATGAGAAAAGCTCACCCTGTTGCAAATCTCCCCCGACAGGACTATTCTGCCCTTGATGTGTACCAACAATAATGCATCTCTCCGAATTCATGCTGACATTCGACCCTATCATCAACTGAAGATTGGGGGGAAAAAACGATAGAAGTTATATGACAAGATGCCAAGGCGATGTCAGGTGACAGCTTTGGCACTCCCGCCGAGTTTGAAGAGGAGGTAAGATGGAAGCGATGGGAGTTACTTGAGTTCCAGTATTGCGTTGGGTGTTCATACCACCTGAACGCAACCCTCGCGCAAACCTGATAGCCAACACCGCAGTGCAGCAAGTGTCATGTGATGAGCAAGTTTGTTCATGCTTACCACTAGCCATGCAGGATTGACGTGGCTTTAAATCATATATATGAAATAGATGGTATTAATGAACAACTAGAGCACTAAGCTTCGACTAGTTACCTGAAGATTTAGCTTGAACGACAAGCAGATCCGCCTTCACACCAGCTGTAATCAGGATACCCGCAGCAATACCCAGACAGTCCTTGATATCTTCAGACACCTTGGCAGACACCTTACCTTCCGTCGCTTTTACAGCACTCCTACGACCAAGCACAACCAGGTTGTGCCAGGTGACTTCTCGTGTATCTGTCCTGACGCCTGATGCGGCATAGTTCGAAGCAGCCTCCAGGGTATTGGAAGAGGAAGAAGTCTCAAACTTGATGCGCGATGCTATATTGGCAGGTACATGCGTTGACACGAATCCGAAGTAGTCACCCTCGTGAGATTGAGAGTCTCCCCCGGCCGTCCCGACGAAGTGTACCACGGTCGCTTGAGCATTGTGCTTCTCGCACAATTGAAGCACTAGCTTGAGGGCAAGCTTGTCATCGTTGCCCCCAAAGTATGGCATGAAGATCTGATGCGACTTGTTTGTGACGGGAATCGTCGGGATATCATGATGGATGTCGCTGAATGAGTATGCTCGGGATAGCCTCTTACGGTCGCTACTGCCGTCCGAAGTAGGTTGAGTAGCACTACCCTTGGGGAAGAAAATGCCAATGTTGTGTTCCGGGGAGTCGAGGATGGACTTTGCGAAACCGGTATATGTTGATCCAAGCTTGTTGGAACCGTCTGCCGACAGGACCTGGGTGTCGACCAGGCTACCACTCTCGCTCCAGGGGACGAGAAGAAGGTCAGAGGAGATATCGGAGGATTTGGAAAGGAGAGCTTCGGCAAAGCGAGTCTCCGGCATGATCGATACCTCCCCAGAAACGGCAACCCTGATCAATTGTCCCACAGTACGGAAGATGTTCACGACAGGGTCATTGCGACTAAAATCGTCCACCTGAGACACGGTCATGACGGAAGAATCACGATCCGTAAGATGGAGTAGGCGGAAGCCATGAGCCCGCACAGCTTTAATACCATTGGAAGAGCCCAGCGCCACAGTGTCCGACGTCATACCGCCCTTCTCGTCGCTTTCAGCGAATTGGCCTCCCGAACCGGACTGCTTTCCAAATAGGGAGACCAAGTTGAGCAACGCAGGCATGTTGTCCAGTCGAAGGTACACTAACAGGCGCTGGACACGATCATTAGTCGGCTTGGTAAACTCATGGTCATCGGTCGATCCGCCGTGGCTCGAGATGGGTTCACCAGTGTCCCAGTCAATCTCACCACGCTTCCAAGCCTCGAGCTTCTTCTGGTACCAGCGAGGGTACAGGAAGGAGGTTAGAGGAGTAGTTGCGAAGGTGGTCAGAAG